ATCTAATGTCTCTAAGGCTGAAAAAATGCAACTATTTAAATTTCACTTTCACTTGCTTGTGCTAGTATCTTAATTGATAATTTGTATACTGGCCACGAAATCAGCTCCATACCACACTCAGTCAATAATTTCAATAGTTTTAGACTCTTCCCAGTCTTGTATCTTCATAAGCAGGTATCTTCCAGTAACGAAGGCTCCACTTTCCAGCATCAGTACTACTTTTGTCTTTTTTACCGCGCCCCGTCGCACCCTGCACAGACTGGCCCTGGCAGGGGCTTCGCGTGGAGTTTTCTCGGACCGCAGTCCGACCGCCCCGGGGCGTCCTCGGAGTGGCTCAGTCCCCGCCCGCGCCGCGCCCGAGCCGAGCCGAGCGGCTGGAGAAGGCTGAAGTGCTTTTCATTAAAGGGACAAATTGCGTCCCCTCCTAGGGCATATTCTATTTAGCCAGTGTTTTAACTGTAAAAAACACGCCTGGCCGGGTTTGCTCCTCGTGCTCAGTCGCGGCGCCCCGAGCTCCGCCTGGCCGGGGAGCGCGCGCCTCTGGTTGCTAAAGCTGAGCTCCGCGACTCCTCAGCTCGGTCCTTCCGCAGGGAGGACTCGCGGGCTGGAGCCCGGTTCCTGGACACACCGGAGTGGGGTCACTCGTGCTTTAGCAAAACGAGATACCTCCTCCCCGTCGGGGAATCGAACCCCGGTCTCCCGCGTGACAGGCGGGGATACTCACCACTATACTAACGAGGAACCGGTGCCAAACTTCTCTCAAGGCCGCCTCATGAGGATCCCGTCGGCTCCATCCGCACTCCGTCCAAAAGGGGGCGCCCTGCAGGGTGGGTTCCGAGCCCAGACCGTACTGAGCGGGGAGCAGCCACCGGCGGCCAGGTCAAGGTCGAAGTCTGAAGCCCGCGGGGAAGGAGGGTCGCGCAGGGCGAGGGAGCCCCGCGCAAAAGCTCCGTAGTCGGCAGGACTCGAACCTGCGCGGGGAGACCCCAATGATTTCTAGTCCACCGCCTTAACCACTCGGCCACGACTACGCGGCACCACGGGGCGTCTGCGCGGGGAAGCTCGAGTCCCGCGCCCACGCGGCCCGGCCCGCGCCAGCTGCTCGTGGGAGGCCGCTCGGCCCCGTCCGCGCTGCGGGATCGCGAGTCCCCGCCGGCTGCCCGGGAACAGAGATCACGGGGAAGGGCGCTTGTCCACCTGAGAAAGAGGAAAAGACCGGAGAAGGGGAAATCGCCTGGCCCTAAAACGACGAAGGGGAAAGGAGGAGGAGGAGAGGACCGGGGGACGAAGAGTTAGGTTTTCTAAGCAAGCTCAGGGCGGATCCTGGGGAGTCCGGGCACCCGGGCGCAGAGCCGAGCTGCGAAGCGCGACCGCGCCGCGGAAGCTGCTCCGCTTCTCGCGCACCGCACACCTCGGCCGTGGTGCGTGCATTTTACCTCCTGTCGCCTGTGTCGGCCGCATTAGCCGGTCATTCGGAACGCTGGCTTTGAAGCTGCACAGCGGAGAAACGTCAGAAACCTTCCGCGTTTAAAAACTCGGCAAAATCGGGCCAAGTGATGTCTGTGAGCTAAACTACCTGCTTGCTTCTGGGTAGCAGTGAACCGGGACTGGCCGCAGCTGCAGTCTTCTGTTTCTCGATTGAAATAAAAACCTCGAAGGGAAGAGTCAGAATTCAGTTGTAAAACTTTCCAGTCACTACGCCAGACCTAAATGGGAAACATCTCCACCCGCCGTGAAAAGGGGACGAACTGCTCTGCCGTCCAGCGCTGGAAAGCAAGAGCAGAACGGGGCGGGAAGCAGGCGAGCGCCGGAGCACCCTCAGGCGCCCCTGCGCGGGCGTGGCTGAAGGGTTTCGGGCGTGCAGCGCCTCTGCCTTTCCTCAGCATTTCTCCCCTCTGGTCCTCTCTCCTCGTGCGTTTTACTGTAAAGAGCAACGGAGAAGCAGGCTGCGCATTCGTCTCCTCAGCTCGGTGTTCCGCTTCTTCTCCTACAGTAGCCAAGTGGCGCCCAACTACAGAGGCGACTCGCCAAGGCCACTGTTCCTGCAGTCCCTAAGACCCTGTGCTTCGCTTCCTTCTGAGACCTTACCAGAAGCACGGTTAGTGTCCCCATATTTTAAAATTAATAGGCTTTATTTGTCGCACAGTTTTAGGTTTCTAGAAAAATTGAGCGGAAAGTGCAGAGTTCCAAGGTGTTCCCTTCCTCTGGTCCCCCCTCTTCTTCCCTATTATTAGCACCCAAATGCGGTGCATTTATTAAAGCGGGTAAGCCAATACTGATAAGCGAATATGAGCTGAAGACCGCAGTGTACCTTAGCGTTCGCTGTGGTGCTGCACCAGCTGTGGGTGTTGGATGGGGTCACACACCCCCCACACCGTCCCACATGGAAGAGTTTCACCGCCCCAACAGCCCCTGGGCTCCACCTCGCCGGCTGTCCTCCCTCCCCCAAATCCCTGGCAACCACTCAGTTTTAGTGTCTCTGTAGTTTTGGCGCTTCTGGAATGTTAATAGGTGGAATCATACAATGCGTGGCCTCTTTCCAATGTCTGCTTTCACTTAGTTACAAGCATTTAATGTCCCACCATGTCTTTTGTAGCTTGATACCTTATTTTTGTTCATTGCTGAATAATAGCGCCCTGTTCATCTGCACCACAGTGCATCCATTCGTGTCTCGAAGGATGTGTTGGTTGTCTTTGTGCTTGGGGAATTAAATATCTGTGTGCAGATTTTGTGACCATCAATTTTCAATTCCTTTGGGTAAACGCCAAGAGACAAAGTTGATGGATGCTAGGTAAGAGCGTGTTTCATTTTGTCAGGAATTGTCACCCCATCCTCCACAGTGGCTGCATCGTTTGCATTTCCATCAACTGAAGCCAAAGTTCCTGTTGCTCCACATCCTCATTGGCATTTGGTGTTGCCAGTGTACTGGATTTCGGGGACTCTGAAAGGTGTGCAGTGGCCTCTCATTGCTGTTTAAATTTACATTTCCTCGGTGGCGTATGGCTTGGAGCGTCTTTCCATATGCTGATGTACCATCTGTGGATTATCTTTGCTAAGGTGTCAAAGTTTTTGTTGTTTTTTAAATTTTTTGTCACATCAGGAGTTGAACCTCGGGCCTTATGCACGCTGGGCAAGCACTCTTCCTCTAAACTACACACCCAGCCACTGGCTCTTTCTTAATTGGTTGTTATTGTTGATTTTAAGAATTCTTTTAATATTTGGTTTTATTTTTTGATGCCAGGGATCAAATCCAGGGGCTTATGCATGGTAAGCACATGCTGTACCACTGAGCTATACCTCTAACCTCAAGAGATCTTTTTGTATTTTGTATCATTACTTAGGCAGATAAGTGTTTTGCAGCCCAGTCTGTGGGTTTTTCATTCTCTTAAACATTCATAAATATATCTTGGGACCTTGCGCTTGTGAGGCAGGCGACCGAACCACTGAGCTAAATCCCTGGCCCAAACATTCATATTTTTAAACCAATATTCTCTTCACGAGCCTGTTATTCTCTAGGCTAACTGAAGCTTTCTCTCTCACATTCCTCACTTTCCTCCGAACCATCACCAAAATTGTCTTCGATGTCCGTCCACATTTCTTTCTTTTCAAGACACACTAGGCTTTTAAAAATCATACACCTCAAAATCTTTCCAGCTTCTACTCACAAATTCCAAAATCACTTTCATGTTTTTAGGTTATTTGTACCAAATACCTATGTTAGTTTCCTAGGGTTGCCATAACCTATTGCCACGAACAAATGCACTGACCAAGCGAAGGAATTTGAAGAGGTGTTATTTAGAATTATTTCAATTCTAAGATTTATTTCTGAGGTCACTATGTATAGATTACTTGCTGATACAAAATTCTTGGGTCACAGACATTTCCCCTGAAATTCTGCAGTTATTATTTCACTTCCTCAGCTTCTAGTGTAACAAAAGGGAGATAGAAGTATCTTGACTTTTGAATTTCATAGTGTTTGGGGGGGGGCGCTGGTTGTATGGCCTTTTCTCCCTCCTTGTTCTAAATTTTGACAATGTACGTGTGGTCCTCTCTCCTTCGTGAAATGTTTTAACATGCAGCTGTGTTGCAGAGTTTATTTTTAGAGATTGAGCGCTTAGGAACCAGATTACTAACATTCAAGTCCTAGCTTCCCCCTCTGCTGCCTATGTGACCTTGGGCAAGCTAGGCAATTTATTCGTGACTCAGATTCGTTAGAGGTAAAGTAGAAATAACAGAGACGTATCTTCAGGTTGTTTTGAGAATTCAGTCGGTTACTATATGCAAAGCTCCTGAACACTGAGGGCAGAGTGTTAAACGGCAGCTAATTTTTATCTGGTCTCTTTTGTGATTGACAGTTCCTATCTATTGCTGACTCTTATTCTGCTTCATCTCTTAAATAATGGAAAAGTCTTTAAGACTATCCTGCACAGGATCGATCACTTTCCAACACTGATTCGTTCTCTGGTGTGACTTTCATTGGTGCCGCTGTGTTCCTTCCTGACCCCTGTCCAGTGTCTTCCGGCTACCGAGTCCTCTCGCAGCTCTTCTCCGTTCTACTCAGGCCTTGCCTTCCGGTGCTCCCTGCACCTCTTCTCCAGTTCCCACAATACTTCGTTTCTGAAATCTCATAAGAGTTCCAAACCTTGTTCCTTTACCTGTAGCATGAAAAGGGATAACGACCTGCATTTTTAAAACGACAAAGCAACAAAACACAAATTACAACGCAGGTAAGGTCATGAAAGTACAGCGGCTTCGGGAATTGCCCGCTGAGTGTTAAAGTACAGGCGTACGACCAGCCTCCTCCAAGTCAGGGCCGAAGGCCACAGCGCCCGCCTCGGCGGAAGTGGCTGACTGGCGCGGAGCGACGCCCATGCGCCGGGGCCTCTGGGAAATGTAGTCCAGGGTTATCGCGCGGTGCATCCTGGGAACTGTAGTCCGAGCCCTCCGTGGGGCAGTGCCTTGGCATGACCGGAAGTGGCCATGATGCCTCCTGTGGGCGTGGACGGAGGCCGCGCTCGGGCAGTCCCGCGGCTCGGCCCTGGGTTAGCTCTGGCGACCGTCTCGGCGCTCGCGGGCGGGGGATCGCAGCGTGTGGATGGCTGTGGGTGGTAGGGCGCCTAGGCGTCACCATGGCAACCGATGCCCTCCCCCGGGCGCGTGACGTCACACTCCCCCGGCGGCACGTGACGTGGCGCTGCGGGAGGAAGTCGGGGGTCCGGGCCGGAGGCGCCCCGTGCCGCCGGAGCGCGGGCGGTCCCGCCCCGGCCCGCGCGCTTTGTTCTTTGTTCTGGTCCAGGCGAGGGTGGCGCCCGGCCGGCCCGCCGACAGATACCTCCCGCCACGCGCGGCAACAGGTGTGCCCGCTGGTGTCGCCTCGAGCGCGGGTGGCTGGCCAGGTATCGCAGCGTCCACTAGCGCGCCGGGCCGCGATGAGCGCCTGACATGGAAGGTACGGGGCGCGGGCGGGCGCGCGGAGCGTGGGACGGGGAGGACCGAGGGGGCCGCCCTGGCTGCGGCCGCGCAGCGAGCTTGGCCGGGCAGCGGAGGAGGCCGCGGCGTGGCCGTGCCCAGGCGGTGGTGTTAGGGGCGGAGACCCGGACGCGGGCTCATTTTCCCGGCTTCCAGTTGGAGAACGGAGAGGAGCTAGGACTCGAACGGCTCTGATTCCCCTCGTGACTTCTTGTTTGAGAAGAGTCTTGGTAACCATCTCTTCAGTGTAAGGATCCGTTTTGAAAATACTCTGGCCGTTGGCCATCTTTCACGCCCGTGCATTAAACTCGCCATATTGGGTGCAGACAGCTGCCTTTTGGCGTTTTCTTCCTGTTCCTTGTGTTGAAGCGTTGTGTCGAGCTCAGTTCTCGCTGGGTCAAAGCCCAAGGACCGATCTCTCTTTCTCCTCGCTGCCCGCCTTTGAGACTGCAGCAGTCGCGACTCTCCCTGCTACCGGCCTGGGATCCGCGATGCTCCACGCGCGTGTCCAGGGCCGACCACTCCTGCTTGGCAGCGTCTCCTTAGCACTGCAGGAACTGAGACGCAACAGCTCTGTGGATGTGCTTTGAAAGAAGCCTGAAAGGATAGCGGATTGCGGAAAGATCACCTACACTTCTGCTGCTTGGCATGAAAATTTATTTGCTTTAAAAAGATCAGAATCATATACTGCACTGAACTAGATTCATGGCGTTCTTGTGTAATGGAGTTGTTATTGTTCTTAATGTCTGGAGTTTGTGTTTAGGATTACCTAATTTTTTTGGTCAAGTCTTCCGAATCCCATGGAACAGCTCAGGTGGATGAAGCGCCGTGATGTGTGGCTATGGGCTTCTCTCTGCACTGCCAGTCTTAACATTCCTTAGTTCAACTGTGCAGTCCAGTTGGGTTTAACCTGTTACCATGTAGTCCTTTTTCTTGTACTTCTTAAATAATGGCATTAAAAGTTAACATTGTTCATGTAGGTTTGAGCTATCATTTATATTTGCCCTTTTTTGCTCTTCCTGACATTTTATAATGTTCTTTCTTTTTTTTTGGTACCGGGGATCGAACTCGGGACCTTGTGCTTGCAAGGCAAGCACTGGAACCACTGAGCTAAATCCCCGGCCCTATAATGTTCTTTTAAATTCTAAGTTCCTCAGATTTAAATTGGCCAAAATGATTTTATGAAGTCTTTGTTTTCCCTTTCTTTTTGGGGATATTTCACAGTTGTATACTAACTGAGCACTTATGGTGCCCGGCATTCAGCGGATTTCTGTAACTGTCATTGTTAGTGGTTATTTTTGTTTCTGCTACTTGGAATTGAAAGCGTCTTGCTAGAGATGTTTCTCTTGGTTCAGTTTCCCAAAATTTTGGTTCGGCACCTGTCTATGTGCAACAATTCCTTTCACTGCAGAAAACTCCATAGGGGCGGGGATTTAGCTCAGTGGTTCCACCGCCTGCCTTGCAAGCGCAAGGACCCGAGTTTGATCCCCGGTACCAAAAAAAGAAAACTACAAGATAACATCTTCATTTTTCTCCTCAAGATTTCTGTTACAAAACTTTTTTTTAGTTCCTGGACAAAATCGGGAGTAATACTTTTCTTCATTGCTTCCTGTTCTTTTTGAGGGATAACATCTTTAAAATAAGATTCTCTCTTTTTTAAAAAATTCTGTTTTGATACAGGGAAGATAAGAGTCTTGATTCATACAGATTTTAAACAAAATGAAACGTCATCCCTCTCCAGACAGATGAAGCCTTCATCCCCTCCAGCTTTGTCCCCTGCCAGTGTGGCCATTCTCCCTCCTTTGGGTTCATCTGGAGTTGCTGGCAGACTCACACTCAGGACTACTGCAGCACGCATATCCAGTCTTCCTGTTTCTGTCAGGTTACTTTCCATAAATTTTGCCCAGCCCTCTTTTAACCAACGCTGGTTTGAAACCCACAGCAGGCCTAGAGGGTCTTTCAGGAATTTGAATCTTGGGGCTAGAATAAGGTGCTGAGGGTCTCTGATAGTTTCCCAACAGATTGCCCTGGGCACCCCGATGGTGCTGTCCAAATCTCTGAAGGGGCTTGGGTCCTGCATGTTTGATTGCTTGGCTTTCCCTTTTATTCTTTACACCTCCCACTATCCTTAGATTTGATCCCTTCTCTCTTTTCTAAAAGTTTTATAGTTTCAAGGTCTTATTTCAGTTTGCACTTCATCGTAACAATTGTGGGTTATACCTACTTCTATTCATTTGTCAGTAATACTGGAGCTCTGTCCTGTGTGTTTGGGGGCAGCATCCCATTGCATGAATATGCCACAGGCTGCTTATGCCTCCTTCTATCAGAGACATTGAGCTTTCAGTTTGGCACTGTAAATCAACCTGCTGTGAATATTCTTGTACAAGGCTTTTTGTGGACATAAGCACTTCTGTGTTATGTGCATGGGAGTAGAATTGCTGTTACAAGTGTAGACTTAGTGTGTACTTCTGCCCAATTTTCTTTTCTTTTTTTTGGTACCGGGGAATCAAACTCGGGTCCTTGAGCTTGCGAGGCAGGTGGTGGCACTACTGAGCTAAATCCCCAGCCCCTTCCACCCAATTTTCTTAAGCCCTTTTTCATCAGTTTATAAACCATGGCAATGCACATAAGTTCCAGTTGCTCTGTATTCTTGCCAGCAGTTGGTACTGACCAGGCCTGTTTAATTCGAGACATTCTGGTGGGTGGGTAGTATAAATAGCAAATGTTGTTGTGACATTTAATTTACATTAATAGCAGTTTTCAAAAGACCTGTGAAGTCTTGGAAAGTAATATGCAGAGAAAGTGAACAGAAATAGTTTGCTTCTGAGAAATAAATATCGAGCTGTATTATCCAAATGGCCAATGAAATATCTAAGGATGAAACTGAGTCCTGAAGCAGTCTTTTCCCTCCAGAGCCTGCCAAGGAAGGTCCTAAGGCCCCAGTTAACAGCTTGTGTCACTGGGGTTTTTTTCCTTTTTAAAATTCTGAATTAAATGTGAAGGAAAACTGTAACTTCTGTTACTTCCAAATAGAAAAGTGAGTGAGTCTTATGGATTGGTGGGAACAGCTCATTTGCACCAATTCACTGCGACTTCTTTTTCCTCCTCTAGGTCTGTCCTCTGCCAATTCTGCCCTTCTCCAGGGGGGATGTCCCCTCTTCCCTGTGGCTAAGTTTCAGGTGAGTTGAGCTTTTGCGAAACGCCCTGTTGCCTCGAGTAGTAAGCGTATCTTTGCGTGGGGCACACGTGTCCCCAAACCGATGCTGGTGTTTTATCTGCTCTCACCGTCTGAGATCTCGTCCCCAGTTCGGCCTCTCCAGCCTTTCCTGCTCGCCCGTGCTTGGCATCTTGCTGTGCTGCAGGGACGGCAGAGCAAAAGAACTCAGTTCTTCACCAAATAGACCAAAATCACCACTAGAAACAAAGCAGGTAAATGAAAGAAAGGCAAGAGGAGTATTGTGGGAATGAGATGGAAAATGTGAGGGTTTGAAGCCTAGCGGAGGGCATGGGTTTGTGTGGCACTCAGGATGGGAGACGTTCACATGTCTGGACAGCAAGGTGGGGTGGGCGTGCGCTGTGGAGGATACTAGCACCAGAGGTCCCCAGCAAGCGTGGCGGGAGTCCACGGGGTCCAGGACAGTTCCTTGGAGATAGTTGATTTTGGCAAGTGGTAAACAAATGCCGAAGGTCAGCATATGAAAGGCTTTGCAGGTCTGGATGGTGAAGTTGAAGAAGGCTTTCCTCTGTAGGCCATTCGTGAGTCATTAAGAGTTTGTAGTGGAAAAGTGACTGATAATCTTCCAGAAAAACAGCTGTGGGAGAATTTAGACAAGAAAGGTAACATTTGCTACCCTGGCCATAATGAACCTTAGCCCTCCGTTAAGCAGGCGCTTTCTTCTTAGTGTTATTCTACCTGCTTCCTTTCTTTTCCACACTTTTAATCTCCTGTGAAAGAAATTCTCAATTCTTCCTGCTTTGAGCTTAAGCTCTTTTAGTAGTACTTGATCTTTTACTGATGTGTGCATCAGTCAGTGCTTAGAAGAGCTTTTGGGCGGGCATAGCTCCTCAAAAGACTGCAGGTGCTCTGAATCAGATTTCACGTAGGACAGAGAAATATGATTGGCCAACAGTGGCTGCCCACATAGTCAAGTGTAGAAGAGTGTAAGAGACCTATCCGCACACTAGAGATGCGAAGGATCTAGCCGAAGGCCTGGAGCCCATGGCAATGTCCCGTGTGAGTCTGCATTAGGAGGCTGAAGGATCCGAGATAGAAGGCTGAGGGCTCTGTGCTGGGAGGTGGAAGAGTTGGTACTAGAAGCTAAGTCTGCTCTGGAAAGCCGGTGTTGGAAGCTAAAGAATCTGCTGTTAAAGCCAGGAGACAATGCCCAAGGCAAAGGCGAAGACCAGAGCTCCTGTGAGGAAAATCAGCTGCAACAAAGCTCTTCCAAGGGAAATCAGCTGAAATCCTTCCCTCCAGTTCTCCTTTTCTACCGTTCCAACAACTGTCTTCCTTAAAGTGGCCTTGATGCCCAGAATCCTGCTGACTCAACTCAGCTGAGCGTGCCCCACTCGGGTTGCCAAGTTAATCAGTTAACTACCACCAGGTGTAGTGAGTGCAGTTGCTGCACATGGTCACAGTGTACACAGTCGGCCTGCAGTGTCCTGGGGGACACCAAAGTTGGCGGCTGCTCAAGTCCTGCATGAAGTGGGACTGCTGCGCGTCCTCTGTGTACACCAGGTCGTGTCTGGGGTGCTTGAAACACTTCGTCCCGGAAGGCGGGATCACTACTGCAAGGACCGGACCAAGGCAAGGGAGCACGGGCGAGGAAAATGTGCAGGCTCAGTTCTGTCTGCCCACCCCACGGCTGTACCTGGATGCGCTCAAGTGAACCCACAGATGCAGGATCCGTGGGTGCCAGTGCCAGCCGAGTTCTGATCAGAAATGACGTGCTGTGTGCAGATGAGGCAAAGCGCATACTTTTATTACTTTTAGGATTTGAATCCTTTCACATTTATTGAGATTTTTTTTACCTTTTTTTTTGCCTAGAATTAGTGCATCTTATAAGTGATCAGTGAGCACTTGACATTGCTGTTGCCGGTAAAGGGTGCCATAGGGTGTTGGTTCCCTCCTGCTGTTCTAATCAATCACGCAAGCCTCGTTGGTTTCAAACTGAGTTCACTCTCACAGTCGCGAGGGCAGCAGTCCATGGTGTGTCAGGACCGGCTCCTCTGTGCCTGCTCCTGGCTGCTCAGCCTCGTGGGCTTCGAGTGCCTGCCCCGGGTCCTTCCGCTGCCTGCCCCTTCCCGGCCCCCACGCCTCTTCTTCCTCCTCCTCGGAGACCCCCTCCTCCCCCATGGGAGGACTCTTGTGACTGCGCTGGTCCCACCGTGTGAACCAGGACACCTTCCCCTTCTCAACGCTGTTAACTTGATCACCTTGCAAAGTCAAGGGTGTCAGAGGTTAGATACGGAAATGTGGGATGGACATTTTCTGTAAACCAGGTAGCAGGTCAAGTTGGTAGTTTTGTTCAGGTCTTTTCTATCCCTATTGATTTTCTGTCTACTTTATCAATTGCTATGAGAGACATATTGAAATCTTGGAATGTTTTGATTTGTCTCTTTTTCCTTGCCGTTCTGTTTTTGCTGCCTATATTTTGAAGCTTTGTTATTAGTTACATAATAGGATTGTTACCGCCTCTTAATCAGTTGATCCCTTTATTGTTGAGTTAACTTTTTTTATGTCTAGTAATAGCATTTGCTTTTAAATTTCCATTGATATTTGATTAGGGTCAGCATGGTCTTTTTTCATTCTTTTGCTTTTAGTTACTTGTATCTCTGTATTTAAAGTGAGTTACTTATCAGTTTTGCTTTTTTTTAGTGCTGGATTTTTAACCCAGGGCCTTGTATATCCTAAGCATGTGCTGATCTACCTCTAGCTGTGCTCTGAACCTCTGTGTTTTGCTTTTTAAAATCCAGTCTGGAGGCCAGGGATTTAGCTCGGTGGTTCTGCTGCCTGCCTCACAAGCGCAAGGTCCCCAGTTCAAACCCCGGTACCAAAAAATAAAATCCAGTCTGGAGCTGGGTGTGGAGGCACACATATGTAATCCCAGCACTCAGGAGGCTGAGGCAGGAGAATCACCACAAGTTCGAGGCCAGCCCAGGCTACATAATGAGTTCAAGGCTGGTCTGAAATACATGGCGAGACCTTGTCTCAAAAAAAACAACAAAAACAAAACAAAACAAAACAAAACAAAAATCTAATCTTGATCCAGATATCCCTGGAATTTGGCAACCCTGAGCAGACCAGGTGTCTGATAGACACTGCCCTCACAGGCGTCTAAAGTGTGCTGTCCTGTTCTTAGTGTTATCGGGCAGTTCCTTCAGAATGGCTCGCCAATTAGACGTATTCCAAGTCCTTCTTGGCTCAGAGAAGTGAATGAGAGAAGCCAAAAACAGTGCCAAAGTTTATTTGTTTTGTTTTTTTTGGTACCAGCGATCAAACTCAGGAGCTTGCATTTGCAAGGCAAGCGGTGGCACCACTGACCTGAAGCCCCAGCCCAAAGTTTATTTGAAACATGAGGGGTAAAAGCGCTAGGCAAGCATGTGACCACTGAGCCACCCCCACCGCCGCTGCCCCTTTGTACATTTCTACGTGGTTATGTCTGTGTCTCCGTGTTACAGTGCTACCTCCGAATTTCAGGCTTACGCAACTTTTTGTCTGTCTTTTATTCTGCTGTTTTACTTTAGCCCTTTCTCTCAAATGTAATCAATCTTTAAGGCAACAGGAATTTTTGTGTATGTCATGAAGTGAAGACCTTGCCTTAATTTTTTTGCCAAGAGTCAGTTGTTATGATACAGTTCGGTGCTGAACCCACTGTATCTTTTTAGTTTTGTTTTGTTTTTTCTTATTTTTTTTGGTACCAGGGATTGAACTTGGGTCCTTGCACTTTCGAGGCAAGTGACAGAGCCACTGAGCTAAATCCCCGGCCCTGAACCCATTACATCTTAATTAACTTTGAAGTTGTTTAATCCCCTTCATCTCTCAGAAGCAGGGTCTGTATCTGACCCCCCACATTATTTTATTGAGTTTTATCCCATGACAGGGTACTCTGCTTTAATCACTGTATTTTTTGGTATATTTTGAAGCCTATCAGAGCAAGTCCCCTTACCCTTTCCATTCCTTCAAAACAAATCTGCTGTTCTTGCAGATTATGTTGGTAAACAACTCACTGATGAAAGCAGTTCCCCTGTAAGTGCGTGGTGTGTCTGAACACAGCAGAGGTGGTGCTGTGCTGCCTGCATGGTCAGTGCTGAGGTCCGTTTGTTTGGGTGTTTGTTTTTTGTGGTACCGGGGATCGAACATGGGTCCTTGCACTTGCGCAGCAGGTGGCGAAGCCACTGACCTAAATCCCCGGCCCTATGCTGAGGTTCGTGCTGGAGCTTCAATCCACTCTCCACATGGAGCATTCCCCTCTGAACCTCCTTAGAATACTGGAGCACTGCTAGGGTGAGATGCTGCTCTGATACTTGTTACGGAGGAGGACACAGCGACATAAGTTTCTAGACCTAGATCCTGTAGCCCGCCTCACGTCGGTCAGCAGTGCTGACTTCCTCTCTCCCAAGGCCCAGCAGATATGCTTGGTGTTTCAGGAATCCGTGACCTTTAAGGATGTGGTAGTGGACTTCACCCAGGAAGAATGGAAGCAGCTGGACCCTGGACAGAGAGATTTGTTCAGGGACGTGACACTGGAAAACTACACACACCTGGTCTCCATAGGTAAGGATGGCTCCCCCGTTAAGGGCCGGGTGTGGAGGACTCAGCTTCTCCCTCTGCTTAGATGTGCTTTGCCCTTAGGAACTAACAAGTTTTATTCTTGGAGATTTTGAAATAGTTTCTAGTTTTCTAATAGGCAGGGGAACAAACTCATACTTTTCCTGAGCCTAGTAAGGTCCCAGATCATAATGCCCTGGCCAGGGCTGGGAAGTGATGACACTGGAGCCCGACGCGCTTCTTCTCCTGGCAGTTGGCCCGCGCGTGTGTCCTCTGGCACTGACTTCGGACGTGGCCCTTGCCGCAGACTAGGTCTGTTGTTTTTCCTCCCCCGAGCAGGACTGCAAGTTTCCAAACCTGACGTAATTTCCCAGTTGGAGCAAGGGACAGAGCCGTGGACTGTGGAGCCTGGGCCTGGTGTGGCCGTGGGCGCCTGTGGAGGTGAGTAGTGGGCCAGAGGCCGTTGGCCGTTGGCCGTGACTTCCGGCTGCTGCCTAGTAAGGGGCTTCCTGTCGGAAGTGTAGGCCGCAGGCTTCTCCCACAGCATCTCCTGTGCGGCAGTGAGAGGGAAGCCTTCCAGACGCTCGGGTTTGGGTTTGTCACCTCGCTCGCTGAGTGCGTGTGCTGTCTGCGTCCCTCGCAGAGCCGGCATCCTCCGTGTCTTTCTGAGGCCAGCTTCCTTACTTGGGCTCCCTGTCAGTTCTTCCCACCGCCCTGGACCTTCGCCTCCTACTTAGCGCTCGGTTTTTAGCTCTTTACAGTTTACTCTTCAGGTTCTGCAGGCTCCAGCCCTTCTCGCATCAGTCAGGCATGCACGGGCTGTGCCTCCAAGTGCTTTTCCTCAGCACTGCTAACCTTCCCGTTCCCCACCCAATCTCTTTCTTTCTCAACCAAACTAGACAAAAGTGAGTGAGCTCCCCTCCAGCAGTCCTCATTTGTTATCATCCACACCTTCCTTAATTCAGCTGTAGCTTCTGATTCTGTTGCTTTGCCATCATTGTCTGTCAACTTATGAGACCTTTCTTCTAAATCATCAGTGTCCATGCTGCACAAAGTAACGTCTTCAGGGACCTGACGCCGGAATAGGAATAATCCAGGCACTAGAAGGGGCTGCATCTGCAGAGTCGTGGGGGACACACGCCATGTTTAAATGTGAGAAATGCTAGGTTGACTAAAATTGTAGTAGTTTTCTTCCTGGAGTTTACTCTGCTCGCTTCTCGGCCTTTTGTCCCAGATCAAATGTGGAGTTCACTCTCCTTTTTTACAGTTTTTCTTCCTTCTAAAATGGGCGTTCTGAATTCCCGTCAGGGCTCACCAAGGGGACGAACTCTTCCCCTCACCTCTCTCCTTGAGGGCTGTCGTCCCCCCTCCCACCCGCTGCCCCATTGTCTCTCCCTTCCTTCCCTTTTTCCCCTGCCTTTCTCTGTGAAGATTTTTTTTAAAAACATGATTTAGAAAACTTCATATTTTTATTAAGAGTTTTATAAACTGGTGGTTACAATTAATTTTTGGAAAAGCGGGTTGTCAAGTTTTATTACAAATTAAAAATGAAGTTTCAAAAATTCCAGCTTGGGCCTGGGATTTAGCTCAGTGGCACTGCGCCTGCCTCACAAGCACAAGGTCCTGAATTTGATCCCCGGTGCCACCAAAAAAAAAAAAAATTCCAGCTTAACCAGAGAGAAAACAATTTTAAAGCATTTAAATGTGTATTGAAAAAACGCAGGCCTTCCAACAAACATTTTAGTCACTGCCAAACAGATTCAGTAAGGCAGAGACGATGAGCACCTCACGATGCGTCCATGAGGTGGACGGTTCGGCCCGTCTGGTCTGTGGACAGAAGGCGAACTCCAGGCGCTTAGCTTCATTCTTCGGTTTCCTTTTTCTTGCTGGAGCTGAGCCGATGATGGTTGTCTTGGGAAGTCCGCCCTTAGTCCTGCCTCCTTTCCCATTTGGAGCGGGTGGAGTCTCAGCTGATGGCTGGCCGCTGTGGTCTTTTTGTAGAGTGCTGTGCAGCTGGGTGGACACCTCCACAGGCCGTGGAAGCCGCCGCAGTGCCTGTGCCCTGGCTTCGTCTCCTCACAGGCTTGTCCTCTTCGCTGCCGTCCCGCCTGGGCTGCCTTGGCGACCCCCCTGCGGTGTCTGTCTGTTGTCCTAATGTTGTCCTGCCTCGCTGGTCTGCCTTGTTTTCTTGCAGCCTGGCTGTCAGCACCCGAGGTTGCTCCCCAGGCTCTGGGTGCTGGAGTATTGGGTCAGCGCCCACAGACTTCGTGAGTGAGTGGGGGCTGCGTTCTGAGCAGGTGGGGATGCTCAGCATGGTCTTCTGGAGCTTCCTCCAGCTCTTCCCACTTCGTCCTGGCCCCTTCTCCAGGTTCCTGAGTGGAGGACGTGACAGCTTGCATGATGTAGGTCTTGATCTGCACCGGGGTCCTTCAGCTGAGACCCTCGGTGGTGTCGGGATCGGCCACCTCCACGGGCTTCCCCTTCTCACCATCAGACTCCATGTCCTCGCAGGCTGCACTGCTTCTGGGAGTTCCTTCCGGTTCTCTGCTGGGCGCGCGCAGACCTCCCTTGGTGTCATTTGAGTGATGACGGCACCCGCAGTCATGCCCTGAAGAGCTGACCATTCCTGAGCTTGTGTCCCATCGGTCCTGCCCTTGCTGCAGAAACTGTGCAGGCCACACCTACCTCTGCATGGAGTGGGCGTGGGGGCGGGGGGCAGCTCTGGCCGCCGCAGTCATGGTGCTGGCTGACAGCTCTCAGCCTGGAGAGGCGCAGGTTCCTGGTCACCAGTGAAGCGGAAGTGCTGTTTTATTTTCTTTTATTTTCTTTATATATTTATTGGTACATTTTAGGTATACAATACATTTACATTTATCATTGGGTGTTTGTACTTGAACATGGTGTATCTTAGTTTTTGTTTTTGTTTTTTTTAATATATGGAAGTGCTGTTTTAAGCCCGGCGTCTGCCATCTGACTCCCCACCGCTTCTAGCGTCGGCTCTCTGGCTCCCTTGTCATAGCGGCTCTCTGGTCCTGACTGCTTTCTTTCCTTCTGTTTCTCTTGTTTTGTGTGTCTGGGGCTAGGCGGCTTTCTTTCCATCCCTCCAGCGTCCTTTCCCACTGCTCTCCTCTCACCTACGTGTTGTGGCTTCCCGTACTCCTTTCTTTCCTCTTTGAGCTGGTTTTTCCCGTCTACCCTTGAACATGCTGGTTGTTTTGCTGCATGAGTGTCTTCGGTCTCACAAACGCTGCTACAGTCTTGAGCTCCATTTCTTCCCAATGTCAGAAGCCTGGACTTCACCTGGCCGGGCGTCTCTCCACTTCAGTCACTCCATCTGCCCCTTACTGCTGCCCACCCAGTGGCCGCAGCCTCCGCAGTGCTCCTGCTGACGCCCTGGGCTCAGCCAAGGCTCTCCTGTTGTCTGCAAACCGTGGCTCTTGGGTTTTTGCTTGTTGTTTGTTACTAAGGAATCTCAGCTCTACTCTTAGCCATTTCTGGGGTTGCCTTTTTAATAACTGTCACTTTAGATGCAGCTCCCTTACTTGTTCATAGAGGTTATTAAGGAAGGTAGATAAGCACTCTCTCAACACCTTCACAGTTTGTTTATTGTCATCCTTTACTCCTCTCTTCCCATATCACAGAGCTGTATATTCGAAAACACTCAGAATTTCCTGTGGGCTTCAGTTTCAGTTTCATAAGCTCAGTCCCACAATCACATTTTTTGTTTTTCTTGACCGGAGAACACTGATATTTTATTTTCTTTCAGACTGGGAACCAAGATGTGAAAACAGTGCCTCTCCTCCAGAAGTGGACATTGCTGAAGGGGAGCAGCTTTCAGAGGCACTAGAGGAAAAACTCAGAAGGGAGGGTCCTTGGAATCCCAGCATCTTAGATGCTTGGAAGTCTGAAGGCAATCTAGGGAGGCAGCAGATGCCGCCAAGGAAGAAACTGCAGGTCACTGAAAAGACGGCACCTGTGTGGGAGAGAGGCCCTGCGAATACCGAATTCGAGAAAAGCAGTGTGCACTCACACGCTGTAACGCAGCGGGAAACATCCCCAGGACAGACCTCTGCTAAGACAGGCGTCAAGCAGAATTCACCTCCAGTTAAAAAAGAGAAATCTTGTAAATGCAATGAATGTGGTAAAGCTTTCAACTATTGTTCAGCTCTTATTCGCCACCAGCGAACACATACTGGAGAAAAACCCTACAAATGTAACGAATGTGAAAAGGCTTTCAGCCGAAGTGAAAACCTTATAAACCATCAAAGAATCCATACTGGAGACAAACCGTACAAATGTGAGCAGTGTGGGAAGGGTTTCATTGAAGGACCCTCACTTACCCAACATCAGAGAATCCACACTGGAGAAAAACCCTATAAGTGTGACGAGTGTGGGAAAGCCTTCAGCCAGAGGACCCACCTTGTGCAGCACCAGAGAATCCACACTGGGGAGAAGCCGTATACTTGTAACGAGTGTGGGAAGGCGTTCAGCCAGAGAGGCCACTTCATGGAGCATCAGAAAATCCACACAGGAGAAAAGCCTTTTAAATGCGATGAGTGTGATAAAACCTTCACCCGGAGCACACACCTTACCCAACACCAAAAAATCCATACTGGCGAGAAAACCTACAAATGCAACGAGTGTGGGAAGGCCTTCAACGGGCCCTCCACATTCATCCGGCACCACATGATTCACACTGGGGAGAAGCCCTATGAGTGCAGCGAGTGTGGGAAAGCCTTCAGCCAGCACTCGAACCTCACTCAGCACCAAAAGACCCACACCGGGGAGAAGCCCTACGATTGTGCAGAATGTGGGAAATCTTTTAGTTACTGGTCATCCCTTGCCCAGCATCTGAAAATTCATACTGGAGAAAAACCTTACAAATGCAACGAATGTGGAAAGGCCTTCAGCTACTGCTCCTCCCTCACCCAGCATCGGAGAATCCACACCCGAGAAAAACCCTTTGAGTGCAGTGAGTGTGGAAAGGCCTTCAGTTATCTCTCCAACCTGAATCAGCATCAGAAAACACACACCCAGGAGAAAGCCTACGAGTGTAAGGAGTGTGGGAAAGCCTTCATTCGGAGTTCCTCTCTCGCCAAGCATGAGAGAATCCACACTGGGGAGAAACCCTACCAGTGTCACGAGTGCGGGAAAACCTTTAGCTATGGCTCATCCCTTATTCAGCACAGGAAGATCCATACCGGGGAGAGGCCATACAAGTGCAACGAGTGTGGGCGGGCCTTCAACCAGAACATACACCTCACGCAGCACAAGAGGATCCACACAGGAGCGAAGCCTTACGCATGTGCAGAGTGTGGGAAGGCCTTCCGGCACTGTTCATCTCTTGCTCAGCACCAGAAAACCCACACAGAGGAAAAGCCCTACCAGTGCGGTAAATGTGACAAGACGTTCAGCCAGAGCTCCCACCTGACGCAGCACCAGCGCATCCACACTGGAGAGAAGCCCTACAAGTGCAGCGAGTGCAACAGAGCCTTCAGCCGGAGCACGCATCTGACAGAACACCAGAACACGCACAGCGGGCAGAAGCCATACACCTGCAGCGAGTGCCGGAAGACCTTCAGCCAGAGCGCGTACCTTGCCCAGCACCAGAGGGTCCACTCTGGGGAGAAGCCCTTCGGCTGTGCCGGCTGCGGGAAAGCCTTCCGGTACCGCTCGGCGCTCAACAAGCACCAGAGGCTGCACCCTGGTGTCTGCCTGTCCTAGGGGCCCCAAGATCCTGAGGAAGCAGAGTGGACAGAGTGACCGCTGAACTTTCACCATCACGCTGGGATGGAAAGTACGATGGGTTGAACTGATGGATTGTTACTCAAACAACTTGGTGACATAAACTCAACTATTTTACGTGGAATGAAGGATTTGAATAGATGATTTCAAAGGTAGTTAGTGTTTTATACTCAGTTTTGTACATTCACAATATATTCTTAAATGGTTTTGCTACACATCACATTCTGCGTGTTGCATCTGAACCTGTGTGTTTATGCATGGTTTGTGCTTCAGTAATGAGGGGGTGCCTGCTCCTGTTCTTGTGCACCTGAGTTGTTTAGGGAACTGGTTTGTAATAAAACGTTATTAAATGCCCTCCAATTCAGTTACCCATAATAGCCTAACTCGGCATGAGCATTAAAACTGGAGCCAGGTGCCATGGCCTATGTCTGTAGTCCCAACTTAGGAGGCTAAGGCAGGAGTTTCTGGGCATTATAGTGAGACTCTGTCTCAGGAAACAAGACAAAAACTTTATAGTATTGCCTCTTCTTGTATGTTATTTAGCATTCAAGGAGTTCATTACAACTGCAGAAGTTTGCTTCCACAGCTTATAGCAGTGTATTTAACCCTGGCTACCCATGGCAGTCGCTGGGTCTTAGTTTGGCTGCTGCAACAAAATCCCATAAACGAGATAGGATGTAAACAACTCAGATTTATTCCTCACAGTTGAAGCCGGAAGGTCCAGGGTCTCGGCCCTCGCACATCTGCTGCCAGGTGAGGGACTTCCTGCGTGCACACCGCTGTGGCCTCATGTTTATATGGTGGAAACCGACTCTCTTGTATCTTTTTGTAGTGCTAGGGATTGAACCCATACCCTTCACACTGAGCCACAATCCCCAACCCCATTTTATATTTTTACTTTGAGACAGGGTCTTGCTAAGTCGTTGAGTTATCCAGCCTGGGCTCACCACCTCGTGATCTTCCTGTCTCAGCCTCCCAAAGTGCTAGGGTTACAGGCATGTGCCACCGCACTCAGCTCAAGTGATGTGGTTTGGAGTGTCATCCTTTTTTGCAGTTGGGTTTTCAAAAGCCCTGGGAGGTAGGACCGGTTGCTTCTTCACCAGAGCACAAAAGCTAAATCAGTGTAGGGTCAGGGTCATTCCGTTTTCTGCCTGTCAGAAGCAGGTGTCGGCGCCTGTGACACCTGAGAGCTGTATCCTGCCATCTGCAGCACTGGTGGAGGCCTCCCTCAGGAACAGACACAGGTCTAGCCGCGCGATGAGCCCCTCGTGATCTCTGCAGACGCAGCCCAGTCACTTGCCACCTTGCCTCTCTGAAGCATGGTGATAGTTTCTCAGCCTGACCCCACACGTAGACAGCCCTGAGACAGCACAGGAGCTGATCGTTATTTACATGACAAGTTTTTCTACAGAGGAGTTCGGGGGAGGGAGCCATACAGGTTTCCAAACGCAGTGCTTTTCAGTTATATGAATGCTCAGTGACCTGCTTTGGAATTTCATCACCTCAGCTGAAAGTGCCAGGCAGTAAAGAACAGAATTTAGGAAGTAATGTGGCCATGTATGTCTTGGGACCTTTTTCGTTCATAACTTTAAACAGCTTTAAAGACACATTACCTAGGTATTTCTTAATTTCTCAAGTTGTCTTTCTTTAGGAATTAGGGTTACCCCACTGCCATAGCCACAGGATGGAGGTTTAGGAACGGATACCAAGTCACAGGCCAGGCTTTGCTGGGCCTCTGAGCCTCCTCCACGCTGTGGAGAAAAAACAGTGTCTGCATCCAGAGGAACAATGCTCCTGTGAGTGTGTCAGAGGAGGTGCCAGGATGCCTGCAGGCCACAGTGGAAGACTTGTGCCATTCCCCTTCTTGTCTGAAGAAATAGAACTTGTGTGGAAATTTGTCACTGACCCTGAAAGATAACACTTGGTTCCACTATCTCTTTACCTCCTCATCGATCCTGTCAGGTCAGACTCAGGACCCAAACTGTGTAATCATCGCATAAGTTAATTACACTTGAAAAAAAGCCTTTCACGCCTCCCTCTGTTTGCGTTGTTTTCCCACACTTTGAAAATGCAGGCTTGGAAAGTGCAGCCCGCTAAGCCGCATCCCGGGCCACAGCTGTTTCTCTCAAAGCAGGTGGATTTGACTTGCTCTTGCGCAGGCGTGTGAGTGTCCTCGATGATGAGCTCAGGTTTTGTCCTTTGTTGCCTGAGATGCCCTTAGCCACACACTCAGCATCTCCTGCCCTGTACCTGTGTGGTAAAAGCAGAAAGGAAGTGATCTTAAATAACTTGTTAGCCAGTCTTTTTTCCTTAATTCTGTAATGTATATGCCAGAAACATAGTACAGTAGGAACAGTTCTTAATATTTATCATACTAAAAAATATATATACTAAGAGCAAAGCAAAATTAAAATCTAAAAGAGGAAGTTGGAAGAAGTTATAATTCAAAAAATAGAGGGATGCAGGCTTAGAAGTCTAGCATCCATTGACAACCTCTGAAATTACAGAGAACTGTTTAGGAGGCAAGGAATTCTCTGCTGCTGACAGAGATTCTAATACCTTCACAGGTAGTCTCTGTATGTTCAGTGTGTAAGCCTGAGTTTATAGACGGCCAGCATTTTCCTCCAGGTCTTACACTGGTAATCTTGACTACCTGCAGATTGTACGTACTGGGCCACCTGACTAGTTTTTGCCAAGCAATTGGGTAAGGAACGCCAGGAAGGGAGAAGATACCACAGCTTCTGACATTCATCCTTAAACATGTAGGCCTTCACTAAACACTCAGCCACAGCCAGTGCTTGTGAGGCGCCTGAGTTTATTATAGCAGTAGCGCTCTACAGCCAGACAGCGCTGCATTTTGTTCTCAGGACTCACGTCCTGTAACACATGCTGTAAAACGCCAGGCGGTGACAAGCATCGTAGTAAAGCTAGTGAAGGGTGTGAGACCTACCCCAACAGTTGTGCTGGTCAAGCCAGAATGGTTGTGAGAGGCCTTTGTAAAGAAGTGTGCCACGCACAGCTGGAGCAGGTAAGTTGATGGACGACGTAGACATGGGCAGGAGCACCTTCCAGGAGAGGGTCAGTACTCAGAGGTCCCGAGGTAGCAGCATCTGGCAGCTTCGGGAGCACAGGCTGAGCGCAGTGCCTGGTAGATGAGGCGGGCAGCTAGGGCTGTTCCTACAGGGTCTTCTTGGCAGTGGCAAGGATTTAGCATCTTCCTCAGAATGAGATGTCCTGGGCTGGGAGTGGGCAGGGGAGTAACTGATTTCTATTATTTCTGGTCTTCAAAGGGCCACTTGCAGCGCAAGGAAGAAATAATAGGGGCCCAGGGTGCAGGCTGGGATGCAGTTAGGGTGCTGTGGCATCCCGTGCGGGCTAACGGCGACCTAGACGGGCGTCAGGGGCAGGTACCAGGAAGCAGTTGGATTTCAGCTATATACTGAACACACAGAGGACACGGTTTGCTGTTGGTTTGGATGCAAAGGTGAGAGTAGCCAGGAGGATCTAAGGACCTCGGTGGGCAGTTTGAAGATCTGCCATGGATGGGAGTCAGTTCAGCTGTAGAGCTTTTTAATTTATCTTAAAAATAGGACTGGGGATTTAGCTCAGTGGTTCTGCCACCTGCCTCACAAGCACAAGGTCCTGAGTTCCATCCCCAGTACCAAAAAATAAATGTACAAAAAAATAGAAATGTACAAGTTGGAAATACCTGTAAAACTACCTCCAGGCCAAGAAGTGGAGCCCTGCTGTGACCCGGTGGCCCTCTGTGTGTTCACATTACAGCTACCTCTTTCCCAAAGGTCACCGTTGTGGGTTACTTCGGCTTGTTCATCTTTGATCATCCAGTATGCCTTTTCTGTGAGATTCATCGTGCCATTGTATGTCAGCGTGGTTTATTTTTGTGCTGTGTAGCAATCATTGTGTGAATGCAGCACTGGTTACCCATTCCACTTCAGACAGGCTTTTAGGTCATGTCCAGTTTGAGGTGGTTACAGATAATCTGAGAACATTCTTGCTCCTGTTTTTCGTGTACATGTGCATCTGTTTCTGTTGGACATGTATCCAGGAGTGAACCTGTGTACAGTGACACACACATTCCACTTTAATATGCGTCGCCAAAGGTTTTTTGGAAGAGTTGCTTCATTTTACATTGCCACCAACCGTGTTTGAGAGTTTCCATTTGCTCCACACCTTCAACAGCATCTTCGTTGTATGTTTAGCTTCAGCTCTCTGGGGAAAGTGTTTTAGACATGTGTTAGACCTCCGAGGACAGGCATCAAGTAGGCTGTTGGAGATGCCAGTCCGCGGTCTGAAGAAGAGGTGCACCACAGAGGTGCACTTTTGGGAGTTTAGATCGAGAGACCCCCTCCCCTAAGCCTCATGTTTTGGACGATGAGGGGATCTTTGGGGTCCCATCCTGGATGTGCTAAATGTGCTGTTGGGAGGTGGAGTCTGGTCAGAAGAGCCAAGGCCTTGGGGTATCTCCCTGCCCCTTCCTCTTTGCTCTCTGCTTCCTGGCTGCCATGACATGAGCAGCTTCCCTCCACTATGCCCTTCCAGTGTGCCATTTTGCCTTTCAACTGTAGACTAGACTGTGAGCCAAAACAAACATCTCCTTGGGTCAGGGATTTAGCTCAGTGGCGCTGACCTGCCTCACAAGCGCAAGGTCCTGAGTTTGATCCCTTGTACCGAAAAAAAAAAAATTAGCAGGGTGAGCCATGTGTGGGGTGAGCAGCACGTGAAATTGGCAGATGATCACCAGGGCATCGTGTCCCAGTGGCGAGCAGGGAGGAGTGTTCAGGAAGAGAGGCTGAGCAGTGGTGTCAGGCACTTGTGAAAGGCTAAGGGAGTGAGTGGAAAATGCCGTAACCAGAAATCTTCCCAAAGAATATGGTGGCTAAGACGGAAGGAGAGCAAGGGACCTTATGGGAAGAGAGATTGTGATGATGCCCTGGAACTTCAACTGGTAGGGGATGAAAGTAGGGACTACTGTGGGCGAGGACGGAGGCGGGCAGACCTAACCCGTAACCCACCGCTCTCACTACCATGGGCTTTGTGTTAAGTTGCAAAGCCTGCCTGAGGCAGCTGTGAGGACTGTCTGCATGGGTAAGAACGCAGGGTAGGGTGTCACTCCAGGTGTGGATGCTGGGGGTGGAAGGGAAAACCAGATCAGAGGAGGAGAGAGTACCAATGACTTGAGAAGCTGGGGCGTTAGGTACATTTACTAAATGCACATTTAAATCACCGAACGTAAGGGTCTGAACAGTCATGGGAAGATGAGGCAGGTGCCATAATCGACAAATGAGGGGGCAACTGTGGGGGAGCAGAGGACTTCGGTGAGGAGAAGCAGTGGGGGTCTGGTTTGCTGGCAGATGACCCAGGGGAGACAGGGTTTGTCAGCAACAGGAAGAGCTCCTACTGCACCCTCCGGGCCCAACCAAGTCAGGTGCAGAATACGCCAGAGAGATTTGAAGGGGGAAAGCAGAAGGTGAAGGAAACCGTCTGCAGGAGGGGCCAGATTGTGGAAAGTGTTGTTTTCAGAGTCTCTGATTTTCCTGGAAATCGTGACAAATGCAGATGAGAAAGTGACAATTTAGGCACATTTTGCATCAAGAGTAGTGCTCACAGAGCCCGGGCAAGCACATCGCACAGTAGAGGAAGGAGAAAGGCAGTAGAAGAGGACACAAGCCCTGGGCATACTGCCTCACACGGTGGGAACCAATTCGTATTTATCACGAGCAATGAATTGAAATGTAAGTAGAGCAAATACGTTACAGGGGACGGTGCTGATACTCCCCATAGTGATGCTACTGAGTTTTATTCATCTATTTTTATGTTACTACAACAAAGCACCCAAGCCTGGATGACTTTATAAAGAAACAGGATTGTTTAGCTCGTACTTCTGTGCGGGGAGAGCACTATCTAGTTCTCTTCCTCCCTCGGACAAAGACAGGGCCCCAAGGGAGGGGAACAGGCGGCATGAGGGCGTGGTGGAGCAAGACCTGGTGGAGAAGAGGGCTGTCTTCCTCTCTGCAACTCCCCATAAAACCATCAAGCACGTCCCACGTACCTTAGCTCTCTCCTGGCTCCGGTTACAGACCAGGCCCTTTACCTCCCCCTCCACTTCTGCCTCCTGGTCTTTTTTCCCCATCAGGAGTTAGAGCGCCACCTGGCCCAGCTTTGTTTCTTTTTGTTCTTTGGTATCTTTGTCTTTGTTTTTCCTTAATCTCCACCGTCATTTCTCTCTCCCTGGACCCTTCAGCCCCACAGGCCATGGCGCTTCTGGAGGTTCAAGGGCCTCATCTGTGATGACTCTGGCCAGCGAAGCCGTGGTGGCACAGGGTGTCTGATGGCAAGAGACGAGGACATGTATGCATCCACTGGCCTCCCTCTTTTATAAAGCCACTGGTGTTCACCCCTGGAGGATCCACTCTCTTGACCTTATTTAGCCCTAATCGACCTCTCCTCTAGACGCTGTTGTCATTTAATTTCTACTTCTAATCTCTCACAATGGAATTAAGTTTCAACACAAAACTTATGAGCTGCACGCTTACTCCATATTCAGATCATAGCACCCTCAGGTAAACTGCAGAATCCAGGCTGGAGAAGGCAGAAAGTGAAACCAGGAAGGCGCTGAGATCAGAGTTTGGGGGCCACAGCAGGAATCATGTGTTAGGAGGCCCGGAGAACTGGAGCACATTTGGCAACCTTGGTTTGATCTACATAAAACAGTTTTATCAGGATCCAAAATATTTTGAGGCACACAGTTCATCTTTGCACTAATTTCACATTTTTCTAAGATATCTCTTTTCCTTCCACACCTGTATTTTCTGAGGATGAATTGGTTTTCCCTATAGATTTGACCATAAAACAAGAATGCAGAGTTTGTTCTGTTTCAGTCTTGGTGACAGTTGCAGTTATTGTTAATTGATAAGTTAGCATTCTGTATTGTACACCAGTCTTGAATGAGTATTGTTAATGGGAATCAGTTCTTTTAATCTCTATTTTCTGGCCACATCTAGGTTTTTTGGTTTTTTTTTTTTTGGTACCGGGGATGGAACTTTGGTCCTTGCGCTTGCACAGCAGGCAGCGAAACCACTGAGCTAAATCCCCGGCCCTCCACATCTAGTTTTTAAAACATGGAACATCATGCTCAATCCCTCCCTACTCTTTCTCAAGACACTTTCAGAACAGTCTTCGAGCCTGCCGTGTGGCCCGTGGAGGTCTTTTATATGGATAGTGAACCTTTTCATACTCTCTTGGTGCATGTGTGGGGTCATCAGTCTTGACATCTGAACCAAATTTTGGGTGGCTTCCCTTGTGGAGTGACCATCCCGCGACCCCAGTCTGAGGCTCTGAATGAGCCCAGCTTAGGTTTTCCACTGGACAGCTTCCTGCACAGGTGTTAGGAATCTAATTGTTTCCATATAGAAATTCTGGCCCACTACAAAATTATCTCACCAATGTGCTGGATTGAAACAAGACGTACTATGAAACCACACACAATTACTTTGCTTCCTGTTTTTGCATTCTGTGTATCTACCAGTGTTGGAGAGCATTGGCAGTTGCTAAAGGTTTAGGAAATATGGCAGAACAAGTTAATATTGATGAAAAAATCAGTCTATTAACTTTTCTCTCTATAAATAGCAATTAAGTTTCAGTGGTGGTACATCTGTGTCCTGGTGATTATAAAGAGTTGCTCCCTGGAAAGATAATTCTGTATAAGAAATAGGTCACAGGAGCTTCTCTTCCTCTGGATTTGTTTCTGTGCAGATGTTCTGGAGAGAGGAGAGAAAGGCGGACCAGCGTGAATGGCCTGACAGTGGGATCAGACCTGGGCTCCGCGCTCCACCGTCTGCTCAGATGGGTTTCCAGAGCGGTGTCCAGCCTGAGAAGGGGCAGACCAGCCCTGAACAGTTCGGAGGACTCGTGCTCCTCTTGGCCTCTGAGAAGTGAGGGCCAAATCTGGAGCCACAGCTCAGAAGGTCAGATGGACCCACTGTTGCCATGGAGACCGGGAACCAAGGGCTGGGCCCACTGGTGAAGGAAGGTATTTTCAGGGGTCTCTTCATGTTTGGCCTCTTATTTTCTTCACTGTACTTGTAGGAAGAGTCTCAGCAAGGAACTGACCACATATTCAAGAAATTTAGTTGGAGAATGTGTAACCAAAGGCGAGTGGACCCCCAACATCTAGCACCTATAGAAACTGTTACCACACTGAGCCCGACAGAGCAAGGGCTTAACTCGCAAACTTGATGGTTAAAACAATAAAGACTTATTCTTGTAGTTCTGAAGTCCAGAAGTCTGAAAATCAGCATCATGGGCCAAAGGAAGGTGTTGGCAACCCCCTGGACAGACCGTTCCCTGCCTGTCTGAGCTGGGGATGCCCAGTCCCCTGGGCTCAAGGGGGCATTGCCCCAGTCTCTGCCTCCACTGCCTCCTCCCCTTTGGTGCCTGACAGGTTCATCTCCCCGTCTCAAGATCCTCAACCACATTGGCAACATTTGTTTTGGATGTGTAAGCTAACATCTACAGGCTCCAGGAATTAGGGTACCCAGACCCACTGGGGGGATAACTCTGACCTTTCCGGTCTTCCACCCTTGGCCACTGAAATTCAGATTACGTCATCTCAAAATAAGCAGCTCTAGCATGTCGACTGTGTTGACTTAAGGCCACTTAAAAATAACAGGCAAGAAGGGCCAGGCATTTAGCTCAGTGGTGCTGTCACCTGCCTCGCAAGTGCAAGGTCCAGAGTTCCATCTCCAGTACCAAAAAAACAGACAAGAAATGGTCACTCTGACCTTTCTTAAAAGCAGGAGATGAAAAAAGAAAAACAGGAGATGAAATTCCCATGTGGAAGATGTCTCCCCTATACCGGAAGGAAAGGCACATTCCTCTCTCTTATCAAGGATGAGGGAAATCTGAGCAATCACTGTTACACTAAACTTCACCTTCTTGTTTATGTCCTCACCAAATTAACTGTTCTAGCCTAAGACCCTTTCCTTGCCATATTTCACAGCTTACTTCTCTTTGTCCCACTCAGTATATAGCTGTCCAACTCTAACTGCTTCTTTGATTCATTTCCTTATGAAGAATCCTATGCTGTTAAAAATGTACTAAATAAATTTGTATGTTTCTCACTGTTGCTGTCTTACATTAATTCTCATGCCCAGCAAATGAGAGCAAGATAAAATTTGCCTCCTTTAGGAGTCTACAGGAATCAGCTTTTTGGGGGCGCCCACAGGGGTAAGCAGTGTCTCGGAGGGCAAACAGGAGGGAACTGGAGAGCAGGTGCTGAGAGGTGCTGTGACCGTTCATCTTGGTTGTCACCTTACTGGCTGAGAAATGCCACGAAACGAGTAAAGCTCACTTCCGGGTGTGTCTGTGAGGTGTCTCCAGAGACAGTTTGCGTGTGGGACAGCAAACTGAGGGAGGAGAGCTTCCCTCGACGTGGGTGGTGCCCTCCAGAAGTCTGCCGGCCTGTATGGAGCAGAAGCAGGTGAAGGAGAAGCCCGTGGCCAGGCTGCCTCTGCTTCTCCTCCACCACGAGCTGAGCAGCTTTCCTCCGTCACCCCTTTCCACCCTGGGGCTCCACCTCCTCACAGTCCCAAAGCTCTGGAACCAGCCCACCATAGACCAACTTGTAAAACCATGAGCCAAAATCAATCTTTCCTCTGTTAAACTGCTTTTCTCATGCATTTTGTTACCACGATGAAAAGCTGAGTAACTCAGGTGTATAAGGAAATGAGGCTCAGTAGGCATGGCCCTCGGGCAATGTGTATCAGTCAGTGGGGCTCTCCTCTACTTAAATATTCACTAAGCCCTCAGTGTGGGAGGGCCTGGCGCTGGAGCGCTGCTGACTGATGTAATCTCAGCTGCACAGGGATTATTAGCAATGTGGTGTGGGAAAGATACACACAAATAGGGTGTGCTGTAAGGACAGAAGGGAGGCAGGCATCATGAGAATGACCCGGGTCAGTGCTGCTGGTCCCCAGGAAAGAGCCTACCTCAGACCAGGCTGGCTCTGCGGAGCAGGCCATGGTCACAATCTCGCTGCTTGACACAGCTCCAGTGACACCGAGACTGTGGCTGAAACCACGACTCCGTCCTTTGCTTTCGCTTTCCGCGGTAGTGGTTCCCTCGGTGCTGTGCTCCCCGGGAGATCACTGGGAGGATAAAAGTCAGTGCTTCAGAAATGGTTACTAGGCCGGGATTACAGGAAGAAATTGTAAGTCCATTTACAGAAAAGCCCCTCACTCCTACCTCCGTGAGTAGTGGGGACGTGACAACCGTATGCCCTGACTGCACAAGGGAAATTGGGACATCAACAAATTCAGGACGCAGTTATGGCTCTTGGGAATGCTGGGTACTTCCAAGGCTCGGACAAATGGTGAGGCCCTGACTACTTTAAGCCCACAAATATTTGCAGCAAAACAGGGATCTCGGTCCATAGAAAATGAAGGAAAGTATGGGCCTGTCCCAACGGCTGAGCCCCCTCCCAATGTAGCTTATAGGTGGAACATTATGATGCCCACCAAAAGGAACAAATTCCATACAACATTTACCCAGATTAGATTTACCCCTGCCATATGACAAATATTGCTTACAAGAGGAGTTAAAGAAAGATGAACAAAAGAAAGGAAAAAATAAGGCGCCTCACTGTCTGGCACCTGGTCACCCTCGGCCAACACCCGCAGGGCACACAACAATGAGATCTGATGAAACTTGGCCTAATGAGGTAGCCTGACCTTTCTAAAAGGCTTCCTGTTCCTCAAATGTAAATCTGATAAATTAACAAGAGTTCACGTAGCACCCGGAGGAGTATTTAGAACTGGGTGGTCTAAAATAGTTTTTTAGATATCAGCTTTTCTTTAACTCTGTTTGAGAACACACTGTGTATGGACCCACGTGCTTACCAAAGCCTTGTGTAACCAAAACATATATAAGTAAAGTGATTTTGGTATAACTCAGACAGACAAGCTGAGCTGCCGACCCTCCACTCTGTGTCTGTCTCATTCTCTCATTGCCTACTCCACGCCTCCTCTCAGGACCTGAGGCCGCTGGAGCTGGACTCCGGCAGCTTTGCAGGGGCTTCCCAGCCCTGCTGTGTTTCCACTACAGCAGAGAGGAGCCCGGTCAATCCTCAGTTCATTGAAAAAGGAAGAGCAGAGAATGGGGTCTCCAACATCTGCAGCTCTGAAGATAGAGGCTCTGACTCCGTAGGTTCTGTTGGTCCATGAATGCACATGTGTGTTCACAGCCACAGTGACAGGCAGCAGAGCGCTCTGTGTACATGATCCAAGAAAGCCAGAGGAACCCAGGGCTCTTGAGGACTCGGCCTCTGAGGTCACACATTGCCACTTCCACTCTTCTCTACTCATTGGAGTGGTCGCTGGGGGAAGAGGTCAGCTCTGTCCTTGAAGGAGGTTCCGGAGAATCTGCAAGCATCTTTGAAATCACTAGCAGACCTGTCTGTGGAACTCGATCCGACAATACTTGTGAGGTGCTTAGAACAGTGCCTGGCTCACAGTCAGGTCTGCCCACGTGAGCTGAGCTGGCACAGGTGTCGCTGCCCATACCCAGGTGGGCCTTCCCACCTGAGGATGAGCAACCAACCCTGCAGGGCTGCTGCTGAGGTGGGAAGGATCTCGCAGCCCACTCCTGCATCAACTCGTGACTCTAGGATTTACATGAAACTTGGGGAAATACTTGCCTTTTCATTCGTCATCCATTTTATGATTTCTTACATTCTCACAAGAGGTCTTGGGGAGTGCTGCCCCCTTCTGCAGATGAGAAAAGCTGGGGCTCAGGACTCATTACACAGCATCACAAACCAGTTAATCATTTACAGAAAATAGAACCCTAGGTTCCTAGGACCCTTTCCCAGGCCACGTCACTTTGTAAAACTCATTTCATTTCCACACGACTAGTGAGTAACTCAGCCTTCGTTTCCCTCAGATGCTGCCTGAGTCGAGGAAGCTTTGCATGCGTGTCTTCCATCAGACAGGGCACTTTGGTCCAGTGGGAGGATATGAGGAGACTTGGCTCTCATCTTGTGCTGCAGACCTTCATTCACTCACTGGGACTAGATACTGTCCCTAAATCCCAAAAGTAGGTACATCTTGATCTTTGTAAAGAAGAAGGGGAAATTAAATAGGTGGATAGTGACTATTTTTGCATGGAAATCCCAAAAGTACCAATTATTTCTCAGGACTTTATTTTTATTTTTCCAGAAGGGAGCACTGAGGAGGTGGAAATGACTGCGTTGTCTCAAATAGATTAGAAGCGGAGAGAAGGCTGGAAAAGCAGACTGTCATGCAAGGGCTTGGCCTGCATTGCAAAGATGTGGCTGACTGCCACAAGGAGAGAGGGAAGGAGCTGTTTCAGAGGTGGGACCAGCAGGGCTAACAACTAACTGTGTCAATAAGGACAGATTTTGAACGAAAGGGGTGGTATACATGCTGAAGTCACTACCCTGTTTGCATTTGGGTGGGAAATTTCTTGCTGGGCCATACTGCACTAGATGTTTAAGGATGCTTAGTATTGATGACTTCTGTCCAATAAATTTGAGTAGCTCTTCCGTTTTGGTAACCACTAAAATGGCCTCTTTGGGTTGAAGATAATACCAAACAAGGTATCAAGTAGAAAAAGTTTAGTCAAGGGTGATGAGTCCTCTTTGGACATTGAATGTTTGGTGCCAATAGAATATTGATGAGTCTGGAGACATCTATAAAATAGCAAGTATGGTCTGGAGCTCTGGAGCAAGGCTGAGGCAGGTAGAGATGGCAGCAGAGATGCAGCCCTGGTACCCAGAGGTCATGATTTAAGCTGCAGCAGGGAGACTAGAGATCCAGAGCACGGATGCTGAAGAGAGAACAGAGAGAATGCATGTACTGAAGAACCCAGAGAACAATCAAAGAAGACTTGAAGCAAATCAGAGCTATGAGGCCACAGCTTTCCTAAGATAGATGAGGACACTCCAAGAATAATAGTGTATAATGTAGCATGTTAACATTTACGCCAGGAAGAAAAATTTAGCAATTAGGGGCTAATGAACTCTTCATAAAATTGAAGTCTTTGAATAGAATAGCAACATGTTTCACAACAGTATTTAAAAATGCTCCCATCCTGTGCTCATCTATCTAGAACACTCAAGTAACCACATTATTTTGTACATCCTTCCAGAGTTTTGTAAAAATATAAGCAACTATAAACACAAATTCTTGTTTCAAATTTTTACACAGTTATAAACCTGGCTTTTTCCACAGAAAACTATATCCTGAACACCTTTCCCGATAGAGTATATTCATACTCATTCTTTTTCATAGCTGTGTATAAGAATTTTAGGGGCAGAGACAGAGATAAAGATTTGGTTTAATTTTATAGAACTGGCTCACATGATTGTAAGGGTCTGGCAAGGTTGAAATCTGCAGGGCAAGCCCAGTAGGTTAGAAATTCAGATGAGTTGATTTTGCAGTCCTGAATCCAAAATTTCTAGAGCAGAACAGTAAGCTGGAAGCTCAGGCAAGATTTCTATATCGCAGTGATGAAGAATTCCTCCTCCTACTGCAAGACTCAGCTTTTGCTCTTAAGGCCTTCAGTTGATTGGGTGAGCCCCCACCCTATTATGGAGAGTCATCAACTCTACTTAAAGTCAACTGACTGTATATTAATTTCGACCACAGGATCTTATCAGAAACATCAGTTTCACAGAACTGGGTGGTACCGCTTAGCCAAGTTGACACATAAATTAACCATCAGAAGATGCATAGTATTTCATTGTATATATGGCAAGAATTTATTTAGCCAACCCCATGATGGAAGACATTTAGGTTATTCTCAATCTTTTGCGATTACAAACTATTCAATGTGTAAGTTTGTATGTATATGTGTCATTTAAAAAATGTGCATACATGTAGTAAGCCCCTAGAAGTGGAATTGGCAGGTCCTGAAGCACATGGGTTTTCAGGTCTGTCAGATATTGCCTTTGTGGGGTTTCTGCCCATACTGGCAACATGAGGCTAAGGCTTGGCCCACGGCCTTGACAAAGACCATGCTGTCAAATTTAGAAATGTTTGCCTACCTGGTTGGTGAAGATGGTATCTGTGTGGTTTTTATCTAAGAAGAGATACAGCTGAGTTTCTGGGAGACAGGTTAAATTTAAGGTATGGAGTAAGTGGATGGTAAGGAGAGTAGAGAAAAGGGATTGAAATCTGGCCACAGCGGAAAGAGAATTAGTTTGGAGACTAAAGTAGCAGGTGAGTTTTATAGAGGCTTTTCAATAGTAGAGAATTATTTTCCTAGAACTGTTAGAAGGATAATGAGATGCATCACTATAAAAGGACTGAAAATTGAAAGGGGTATGAGAGCCAGGCACAAGGAGGCAGAAGGAAATGGCATCTCTGGCAAAGCTGTGGAACAGGAGCTCAGTGGTGGATGTGACAAATGTGAAGGACAGAAGGCTGTAGGCGGGAGCAGATGGCAGAGGAGGAGACGGACTTTTGGAACAAGAACTAAAAAGGGAAGGCTTTGATTCACCATCGGGAGGGGAGCACAGGAGCAGATGCTGCACTACCCTCAGGCGTGGGGCTCCTGCCCCCAGATGCCAGGTTCCAGATAAAAGGCAGAATGTTTGAGGGATGACTCATCTACATGAGCAGTGATTCCATAAATACCGAGCAACTGCTCTGTTGGGCACGTTGATGTCACTTAGTCAAGACAGGGTAGAATGGAAGACTAAGCCAGATGGCAAAGTCACTGCGCACCTGACAGACTGGGAGAATGGAAAATGTGAAGGGTTGACAGGGATGTAACTGCCAGATCACTCAGTCACCTGGTGTCTTAAGGGAAATGTGATTTAGAAAACTAGACACACGGCAGTGTGCCAGAGCCTGTGTGGTACCTCCTCAGTCTTGGACTCAGGAAACGAAGACCCTGACTTTACCTTCCTGATAAAGAAGTGCATGTGAAGAGAACACCATCTGGGACCCAGTAAGGAGGCAGGAAGGGTATTCTCGGAGGAGCTGTGATTTATTTAGATTCAGACTGGTTGAGAAGATGAGTCCAGAGAAAGAAATCCCTGCAAACTGTGCCATGACAGTGTAGGTGAAAATTCATTTGGGGCACTGGCCAAGGGTGTTTCGAACAAAAGGCAGGAAGGGATTAGCTGGCTTCCATTCCAATAGGAACACTGGTACACCTTTAAGAAATTATTGCAGAAAATTTCAAACCGTGAACCCAAAATATAATAGCAAATTGCCATGTGTCCTTCACCTAGCCTCAACAGTGATCAATACTTTTCCAATCTTGTTAAGGAACCTCTGCCCTACTCACTTTTTATTCCTGGAGTACTTTAAAGCTCCAGAAGTCCTATCATTTGACCTATTAGTATGTACCTCTTAACTTTTCTTTTTAGTTGTGAAATTAAAAATTTTTGTGCTGCCAAAGATTAAACCTAGACTTATTATCTCTCACCATGCACTAAACTAAAATAGAAATGGATCAAAGAGCTAAATATTAAAACAGAAACAATCTGCTGAAAGAATAGGTAAAACTCTTGAAGATATAAGTGTAGGCAAAGACTTTATGAATAAAACCCCAATCACACAGGAAATACTACAAAGAATCAACAACTGGGATCACATCAAATTAAAAAGCTTTTGCACGGCAAAAGAAACCATCAACAGAGTGAAGAGACAACCCACAGAATGGGAAAAAATTTTACCAGCTATTCTTCAGGTAAAAGGACTAGTATCTAGAATATATAAAGAACTCAAAAAATTAGACCCCCTCCCCAAGATTTTAAAGACCTAGTCCAATAATGAGCATTTGAAATGAATAGACACTTCTCAGGTAAAGTACAGACAGCAAATAAATATATGAAAAAAATGTTCAACATCACAGGTCATTTGAGAAATGCCAATTTTAAAAATGCTGAGATTGTGTCTCACTCCAGAAAGAATGGCTATCATCAAGAAATAAACCAATTAACAAATGCTGGTGAGGATATGGGGAAAAAAGAACCCTTCTCCACTGTTGATGGGAGTGTAAATTGATACAACCACTAGGGAAATCAGTATGGAGATTCCTCAAAAAACTAAAAGTAAAGGTTCCAACTGACCCAGCTACTCCCCTTCTAGGTGTCTTCCCAAGAGTTAAGAGCATCATTCCACAGCAATATAAACACACCCATATTTTTAGCAGCACAATTTGTAATAGCTAAATTTTGGAAAGAGCCGAGATGCCCACAATGGATGAATGGATAAAGAAAATGTGGTTTTATTTATTTATTTTGTGGTACTGGAGATCGAACTCAGGACCTTCCAATTGCGAGGCAGGCACGGCACCACTGAGCTAAATCTCCAGCCCCTAAAATGTGGTTTTGTATACAATGGAGTATCACACTGCCATAAAAGGATAAAGTTGGCCTGGCGATGTAGTCAGTGAGGCTGCACCTTCCTGGCAAGCGTAAGGTCCTGAGTTCAATCCCTAGTTCTGCAAAAAAAAAAAAGATAAAAGTTGGGACATTTCTAGGTAAATAGATGCACTTTGAGAACATAATTTTAAGTGAAATCAGCCACATATGTTTGAACATCACATTGTTCTCTTGTCTGATAAACCCAAAGGGTAAATGAGAACCAAAATGGATGATAGATATTGGGAAGTGGGAAGAAAATATTCAAATACGAAGAGGAACAAAACGTGCAGGGGGGTGGGGGGTGGTGTTAGGGATACAAAAGAGAACGGAAGGCAAATAATAGAAACAAAGTTTTGTGAAGGGAGAGAGGAAAAGGGACTGGAGAGGGGGAGTGGGAAAAAATTAAGATACATTATATGGCTGGGGATTTAGCTCAGGGGCGCCGAGCCTGCCTAGCAAACGCAAGGTCCTGAGTTTGTTCCCCGGAACAACAACAAAAAACACTCCAAAACGAAATATATGTACAGGTACAAATTCCCTATGATGAATGCGATCATTCAAAAGTGGACCGATAAAACTAAATAAATAATAAATACAAAATCTCTTGAGTATATGTTTCCAGTGCACAATTAATTCATCGTGGAGAGCTGGCATGTGTACTTAACACATCTTAAATCCATCCCCTTCCTATCTCCTGGTCACCTCATCATTTGCAAATTTAAATCAGACACACAAATTTAAATATTGCATAGCTTCTCTTACACGAGAAAACAAAGTATAAATAATTCAAAGAGCAAATCAAAGAAAGATAATGGGGAAAAAGCTGATAGACCTTTTTTCTTTTAAACAAGACCATAATGACATGGTTACACCTAATACCATTAACTATTTTATAAAGCTGTTTCAACACTAGCAGACTGAAACATTTGCTAGGGATTCCAAACTAAAATCCTGGTGTTGAAAAAGACGCCAAAGAAATGCTGGTACATGGCATAAGGTTAATCATTAGACACCATTACAAGTTACATTGTAAAAGAATATGAAGAATACTGATATGGGAAGAAAATGCAAGGTGAATGTACCCAGGAAACCTAAGTATGAACGGTAACATTCTACGTGCAGACCTAACATAGATCCTGTGTCTCTCCACAGCCAGGAATCCACACAACCACAGCGAAGACCCTCTCTTTCTTTCTTTTTGTACCGGGGATCGACCTCGGGTCCTTGAACTTGTGAGGCAGGCGGCGGACCCACTGGGCTAAATCCCCGGCCCAGAGATCCTTTTTCTAAGGGCGCTTTCCTTCAGTCTCACATCCCCTAATCCAAAACGCAGATGATTATTGCAGGGTCACAAAATGCATGCTAAGAGAGTAAAATGTGGTGACAGCGTTAAACTTCTTCTCTGAACCGTCGCGTTGTTAGAAAAAGAAAACGCCCAGCAGCCTGGAGACACACCGCCCGCGACACCGTCAAGCGCTCAGGTCTTCCGCCGGAAGTCTATGACATCATAGAAAGGCGGTGTCGGTCCTAGAAGTACAGGAAAGTGACGTCTGGACGCTGGGCGGCTGCGCACCTGCCTTGTAGCCGGCGTAGGCCGCGGAGGCTTCCGGGACTTGTAGTCGTTGGCGAAAGTGGCACCTCCGACCCGTCCTGGGGCCGGGCGGCGCTTCCGAGGTGCTCCGCGCTGTCCTTCCGAGGCCACCTCCGCTTTGGACTGACCCGAGCCTCCACGCGTCCTCGCCTGCTATTGGGGAGCGTGGGAGCAGGGTCTAATGGCGATGATGAACCCCACGACCTTGGGTGCGAGCCGGAGAGCGGAGCGGAAGCTGCTGGGCCCGGTTCCCCTGCGTGCTCCGCGGGGTGAGGCGAGGGTGCCGCCCACTGGCCACCGCGGCCACACGTGGTTATGGCTTGGGTGTGAGGTGGCGGTTGCAGGTCTGGAGGATAAGACAGGCTCACAGGTTCACAGACGTGAAGTCGATTCTCATCTCATCATCGCGAAGGCGTGTGTTACTGACAGGACATCACCGATGAGGTTATCCCTGATCACCAACAGAACTACCACTTATCCCTCCCTCACACTCTGTGCAAGTCATTAAGCGTCACCAACATTCAGGGAGCAGAAGGGGTGGTTATATAAATTATCTGGAATTTTGTAAGATTTATATTTCTCTGTCCCAGCTCTTACATCAAGCATTTCTCCAGGGAGCCCAGATTCCATTTATTGGTGAATGGTACTAGAAATCAAGATCTGTGTGCTAGGTGTGCTCATGGTTATTGGCTGTCACTGCGTCTAGGCCACAACTAGGTAGGGAACCACCCAAATAAAAGTTGAGAGTGCTTTCAACTGGGAAGAGCATCTTGAACTCTGTATCCACAAGTTCTGTTCAGAAAAACCAGGAATCCAGACGTCTGCCACATAAATCTCAACCATGACAAGCAAGAGAAGCCAGAAGGTACTTCTTAACTAACATACTTTTAACACAGAAATTCCATCGCTGGGCTTTGCTTGGCTTTCTTATCCCTAACAGCAGAAGGTTTTGTCTAAGGGAAAAACACATGGGATGAGAGTGATTTTCAACACTTACTTCACAAGGATACATTTCTGTAGACTGCTGTCGTGTAGTCCTTAAAGGCCATCTTCTCACCTTCAGCACATCAGCACGTGTGGGAGGCATAAGCAGTGGGAGTCGAGTTTGAATAAATGCAAGGCCTATGTGGGAGTAACAGTATGGAGGAGGCAGCATGGGTAGGTGGATCAGATCCCTCAGGACTGTGGGCAGAAAGTAAGACAGGAGCGGCTGGGACTAGCAGTTGCCAGCGACTTGAAAATCATAGATGTGATTTTTTTCCCCTTTGTTTTTAACCATTAGCTAAATCTACACAAGCTTATGGTTTCAAAGTTTAGCTCAAAAGGATATAGCATCCTCTGAGTGAGGTCCACGGCTGAAGTGCAAACTAGTGAGAAGTTGGAAAAACCTCAAAGTCACGACCAAACTAAACGGAGACCTCCACCTGTGGAGGAAACAGGAATCTGCTTCTCTGAAATCGGTCAACGCAGCCCATGTTATTTGTGTAACAACATTGGCCTCTTGGGAACGGTAGGACCAGAAGGACTCCTCTGACAGGACAAGAAGGGTGACAGAGAAGCGGGGGTGGAGAGGGGCAGTAATATTCCTGACGTCTCACATTGTTTCAGTGGCCAAGTTTTACTTCCACCAGTGTCCTCCCCTTGCCCTCTGGCCAGTTCCTGCCTGTCCTTCACATATGAGTTCAGCCATGTCCCATGACCTTTCTGGAAGCTTTTGCTGACTTCTCAAGACGAACTTAGAAGTTTTTGGAATATACCCAGGATTTCTGAAACAATTTCAGTTCTATTAATAGTACTTACTACTGTTGACAGATAGTATACCTATCTCTTGTGTGATCCTTTCCTAAATTTTACCACACTCAAGTGGCCTATCTGTCCATCATCAGGTGAATAAAGAAAATCTATACACAATGGAGTACTACACCAGTATAAAGAAGGTTACATTTGAGTCATTTGTAGGAAATTGGATGTACCTTGAGACCATAATGTTAAGTAAATAAATCAGACACACAAGGTTACATATCATATGGTTTCTCTTATATGAGAAACTCAAAGTATAAATAGTTTAAAAAGCAAAATAAAAGATAATAGAAAGCAGTGGGATAGATCTTTCTCAGCAGGCAAGGGCATCACTCAGTGGAGGGAGGGAGGAAGGAGAAGTAAAAAGCATTAAGATGTGTTATGCACAACTGCCACCATCCTACGAGGAAAGTAATCATCACGTATGCAAACGTACTAATAACAATGAGCCAAAAAATCTTGGCAAGAGTGGATGATGGATGTGCTTGGGCAATAGCAATAGGAGTTGTAGAAACTGCCTCTGTTGTGGATATATTGTGGAGGTGGAGCTGAAAGTTGGGATACAGAATCTGAGGGGAAGAGAGAATTTGTAGATGACAACACAGATGGAGATGTTAATGAGATGTCAGTTGAGATGGGAAAGATGCATTAGGAGCAAGTTTGGAGGGAATATCAGCAGTTCAGTTTTTTAAAAGTCAGGTAGAAGATGCTCCTTAATGAAGCAGTTGTGATGAGTCTGGAATTTGGAAGAGTTTGGAAAACCACCAGAGAGGAACAAGCTTTGCCTGTAGAGTCCATGGCTGGTGGCTGCCAGGAGCAGCTAACACTCAGAATTGAAGATCTGTTACACTAAGGGCTGAGAGCCAGTGGCTTTTTTTTTCTTGCTTCTTTGAGACAGAGTCTCACTATGCAGTTCAGGCTGGATTTGGATTCACTGTGTAGCCTGGGATGGCATCGAACTTGCAGTAATCCTCCTGCCTCAGCCTCCCAAGCACAGGGACTACACACATGTGCCACCATGCCCTGCTGAGACACTAGCTTTTATTTTTGTTGTTCTTGTTTGTTCTTTTTTTGAAGCAAAACATTTATTTATAATTTTAAGATATACTTAATGATAATATTCACCACAGGAATTTGTACCTGTACATGATATATCTTGCTGCTTCTTTTTTTTCTCATTCCTCTCTCCCTTTAACCCCTCTTCCCCTCCTTATTTTTTTGTATATCCTTTTATTGGTACATTTTAGGTATACAATATAATGACATTCATCATTGGAGATTTGCACCTTTACATACTCTCTTGGTTCTAATTTTTTTCCTCTTCCCCTGCCCTCCCTTCAACCCCTCCATCCCTCCCTATTTACAAAGACTTTGTTTCCATTTTTTCATTTTCTCATATTAATCCCATTCCCTTCTATCCTTTCCCCTAGCCCTCCCACTTCCCCTTCCCCTTTTCTTCCTATTTCACATTATCTATTAATCCTTTTAGTCCTTGTATACACTTTCAGTTTCTCACACTAGAGAAACTATTTGGTATTTACACATGTGTGTCATATTTATTTCACTTAAGAGTATGGCCTCAATGTGCATCCATTTAGCTATAAATAAATGTCTCTAATTTCTCATTTTTTATGGCTGAGTAGTACTCCATTTTATTAAAAACCCACATTTTCTTTATCTAGTCTCCAGTTGATGAGCAACTGAGCTGTTTCCAAGCTTTAGCTATTACAAACTGTGCTGCTGTGAACATGGGCACACATATATCTCTGTGGTATGATTCTTTTAATTCTTTGGGAAGATCCCCAGCAGGGGAATAGCGGGGTCAAATGTGACCTCTAGCCCTAGTTCTTTGAGGTATCTCTATACTGATTTCCACAGTGGTTGCACCAGTCTACACTCCCACCAGCAGTGGAGCAGGGTTCCTCTTTCCCCACAGCCCCACCAGCATTTGTTATTGGTTAATTTCTTGATAGCAGCCATTCTTTCTGGGGTGAGGTAGAATCTCAGTGTTGTTTTCATTTGCATCTCACGAATGACCAGTGATGTTGAACATTTTTTCATATGTTTATTTGCCATGTCTACTTCTTTGTGTGAGAAATGTCTGTTCATTTCAGGTGCCCATTTTTGGATTGGGTCTTTAAATTTGGGAGGTCTGATTTTTTTAAGTTCTTTATAGATTCGAGATAGTAGACCTTTGTCTGATTCCCCTCCTTATTTACAAAAGTTTATTTCCATTTTTTCTTCTTTTTCCCTTGTCTCTTCTTTCCTTTTCCCCTCCCACCTTCCTTGTTCCCCTTGTCATCTGAACATTTTCTTCCTATTTCCCAATATCTATTATACATTTTGGTTCTTCTTTACACTTTCAGTTTCTTACACCAGAAAAACAATGCAGTATTTAAACATGTGTGTCTGATTTATCTCACTTAATAGTATGGTCTCAAGGTGCATCTATTTAGTTAGAAATGTCTCAAGCTTTTAAAAGCCAGAGCTGTTATCATCCAGGAAGCTCTGTTTGCCAGGTGAGGATTTCTATCTGACTTGAGCAAGAACCCTCAGCCGATTGGTAACATCGAAGGTGCCTGTATGCTGGTCCTGAAGCAGAGGCAGACATGGGTGAGTGTTGTCATAGGCTCAGGAACCAGCCCATGTCTGATTTCCATCCTAAGTGTGCCTAAGAATCCACACTAGCCAGTCACATTGGTAAGTATGGACTTTCCACAGTTTTTAAATTACAGATGCAAGTTAGATCTATCCTTTTGAAGAATTTCAGTTTATGATGAAAAATGTTATATGTTCTTGAAAAAATGTGGGGATACTACATGTATCAAAGTTCTTTTAGAGGGATAAGAACACTGCAAAAGCAGGACCACACTCAGTTACCTTGGCAGTGTCTTCCTGTTTAATATCTTGCTCTTTCACCAAGAAAAAAACAAATTGAAGGTTTTATCAAATTTGGCAATACTTATGATTGCCCTCCACTGGTTGCTTCCCAGTTGTTTTGTATTTTTGTTTTGTTTTAAAATTTTCTTTGTATCTCTTTGGTCGTTGTTGTTATTGTCTATTTCTTGTTGCCACGTGAGTAGGATAATGACGACAGATTTAACTGCACATGCTGTAAATATTAGGAGCAATCAGTTTTCTTTATTTTCCCTTCTCACAAACTGTACACAATTAAGGATTGTTTTCTTCATGAGATTTACATTCTCAGACCTGAAGAAAACAAGTGTGGGTGAGTTGAGTATGTGGATTTTAAATGTCTATTCAGTTGCCTTTCCAGTGAAGAACCACTTTACAATGCCATTGGATCGTGATTGTCATTTATCTGATTCCTAGATGGAAATCAGCCCAGCATGTGGGGCCTGGATAGCTCAATTGATAGAGTATTAGACTTAATCTGAGGGTTCAATTCCAATCCCTGTCCAGGTGCCAGTTCCAGCTTTGCTAATGTGCAACAACGTTTACCTGTCTAGAGTGAGGATTGTCAGGTCGCTAGCTACTTTCAGCCTTTATCAGTTGCTAAGGTTTTTTCAGAGTCATCTATTCCAAACAGATGATTTTAGCAGTTTGTAAATAATAACTTCCCGAGGAATGGACAGTGCAAAGTTTGTAACCCATGAAATAAAAGGGCACCACCTCTGGAATAGGGTATTTTAAAAATGGAACTTGAAATAACCACGAGAAATGCATTCACCGATGCAAAACACACGGCCTTGGATTTTTAGTCTTCGCCCC